AACACTTTAGAAAGGAAATATGGAGTTAAATCTATATATATAAAGCAAAAGGCAGAGAATTGTGAAACATTCAAAATACCAGAAAATGTCATTGGTTAATGCAAACATTAAGAATTGAAATTATTAATTAGATTAGGATAATATGGTAAATTCATACTTTTTCATATTACAAAAAAATTAAAATTAAAAGAAAATTCAGATAATTGATCCTCTTTTTATGGAACACAACCACCCATTATCTTTTTTAATTCTAAATTTTTTTTTTTTTTTTAAAAGCCTCTCGCAAGCGCGGAAGCGCATGCAGAGAGGCTAGCATGAATAAAGGATGAGACAAGGGAAAGAAATTACTTAGGTAAGATACTGTGATGAATAGTACCCCCAGGATAAAAGTTGCACGAAACTATGAATAGTGACCACGTAGATCGTTTTTAGAATGAATAGTGACTTAGAATGAATAGTATTTTTGGGTGAATAGTAACTCTTAGAAGGTGGGTGGTTATGGTGAAAGAGAAGAAGGAAGGTTTTGGAGAGTTTAGGCCATCTCCAGCCATGCTAAAATAATACAAAAACTATTTCTAGTCATGGGCTAAACAAAATTTTGGCCAAATTTGGAGGGCCACATTTGGCCCTTTAGGCCATCTCTAGCCATGAGCTATATCCCAAATATAGCCCTAAATTAATGCAAAACCCATCTACAGCCATAGGCTAAATAAAATTTTGGCCAAATTTGGAGGGCTACATTTGGCCCTTTAGCCCTCCAACTAGGCCACATATAGCCCACATTTAGTTTAGGCCAAATTTTTGTGGGCCCATGCATTTGCTTTTTAAAAGCCAATAGTAAAGTAAGTTGATGTGATAGCTGGATATATATAATAAAATATAAAGGACCCTAAAATATAGCCTTGCATGGCTGGAGATGGAAAAATTTAGCCATGCACTATTCTTTAAACAATTAATATTTTGGAGGGCTAAATTTTTAGCCCTATGACTGGAGATGGCCTTAGCCCTCCAACCAGGCCACATATAGCCCAGCTTTGGGCTATGCCAAATTTATAGTGGGACCCATACATGTGCTTTTCAACGGCCTCATTAAAGCATGATGGATCTTTTTGAATGTTCCAATTCGTAGTGTATGAGAAAAAAAAGTATAAAAAATTGTTGGTAAATGACCGTTGGAGGTCAGACCTACCCACTCCCTTTTTTTTTTCTTTTTTTTTAAAATAATAAATGTGGTCAGCTTTTCAAATCTTTCAAGTGTTGTTTAAAAAAAAATTATAAAAAATTCTTGTTGATGACCGTTGGAGCTGAAACATTGAAACCCATCCTTTTTTTTTTTTTTTTTTAAATGTCTTCCCGTTTTTAAAATTTTTAGCCCTGGACTACATTTAGCCCTATGGCTGGAGATGGCCTGAGGTGTTAGGAAAATGAATGAGGGAATGGGTATTTATAGAATACTCGAACAGTTCAGATTAATTCGAATATTTAATTTGAAGGTCTAGATTGAAAGTTGAGTTTGGTAAAATATGGGAAGCAGCATGATAGTTCATAGATGAATGGTCCAGATGCATCCTCAATTACCAATCTAATGGCCTAGATCAAATCAGAAGTCTCCAATATAATAGTGATATTTAATTGTGAAAAAATTCCACTTACCTCAAATAGGACCGTGCAATTAATATTGTGAGCGTAATAATATTTTGGAATTTTTCAGGGGCTCACAAACATTATCCTCAATGACCTGAGGGTGATGGGGACATATCATCTTCCTTGGATTTCGATTCCCTAAACCTTTGGAAGGGTTATGTAGACATACTGTACCAATACCTTGGTGTGAGGTATAGTTGAGGCGGTGTAGCGGGTAAATGGATATTCTCATTACCGTACCTGATGAGTTGGATTTAATTATGATTTCCAGTAGGGGTAGTTGGCCTATAAGGATTAGTCGTTAGACAAGTAGATACTACAGCACTCCGAAAAAAATTTGTGAAAGTGCTTGAGCTTGCCCATTGGTTTTGGATCCACCATAAATGGATACGGTTTGTGTTGTGCATATTTTTTCACTGTTTTCTATATCAAATAGAGATCTCATTATATTATTATTATTATTATTATTATTATTATTATTATTATTATTATTATTATTATTATTATTATTATTATTATTATTATTATTATTATTATTATTATTATTATTATTATTATTATTATTATTATTATTATTATTATTATTATTATTATTATTATTATTATTATTATTATTATTATTATTATTATTATTATTATTATTATTATTATTATTATTATTATTATTATTATTATTATTATTATTATTATTATTATTATTATTATTATTATTATTATTATTATTATTATTATTATTATTATTATTATTATTATTATTATTATTATTATTATTATTATTATTATTATTATTATTATTATTATTATTATTATTATTATTATTATTATTATTATTATTATTATTATTATTATTATTATTATTATTATTATTATTATTATTATTATTATTATTATTATTATTATTATTATTATTATTATTATTATTATTATTATTATTATTATTATTATTATTATTATTATTATTATTATTATTATTATGTTCGTTATTTATTTTCAAACCTTGGTGAGAGCCCTTCTTGCTAGGCAAATGAACGTATGTAATGCTCACCCCCACTTTCGTTGTAGATTCCATTCATGGGTGACATCTTGGTGTGACTTGCTCACTTGTCAACATCTGGTTTGTGTATTATATCAGTTATTAAGTTGTGAACCCTATTCCGAATCTCATATAATTCTCATTCCACCACTGTGGAAGCGTTCTAGGCATCACGTCCATGACATTGGCTTGTTTTGCTGATTCCACCAAGACAATGGTCATGACACTGAATCTTGCATATCCTCACACACCATCATTTAACATTTCATTCAGGAAGGCAAATAGGAGCAATACTTACGTGACCAGCCTACTGTCCTACTGCAGCCTAATCGACAAATCAACATGATCATCACCATCAACATGTCCCCAATCGAAGGCAGACAGACCTCTAAGGTGGTTCCATTTTTGGACATCCACATTATTAGGTCGATTTGGATTAAGTTGATAGAAAAATACAAAAAAAATGTATTGAAAGTTGATATATGAAAGCTAATATCCAAATACATGTGTTTTAACCATTAATTTTGGGCTTGTAATCAATAAAAATAATTACTAGAAAATAAGCCTAAACTAAATCGGTTCAAATCAAGAACATCGGTGTACGAAACCAACCTAAATTGATTCTATTGGGTTAGTTATGGTTTGGCCAAATCCTTATTGACGTGATTAGTTTGGTTTACGATTTAGACCCTAAACCAAACCAAACACACTTGTTCAAATGAAGTGTTATATTCGTAAACACAAGTACCTAGAAGCTAAAGGATTGTGTTTGTGAATATATACCCATTCAGAAACTGTAAAAAGATGTATGCATGGACTTTTCAAGTTGTTTTATACACCATTTCAACAACAAAAATGAAATTATATTTTTTTCAAAATAAAATGGTTGTACATTTGAAGTTTTTGTATCATCCTCCCTAAAAAGAAAATATACACTTCATTCTATCATACTTCAAAATAAATAGCATGTGAGATGTCCCTACATAAGACTTTGGACCAAGGACCTTGTATGACTAGTCGGATGCCTCAAACAATTTTATTTTGTCTCTCCAAAAATTATTTAATATGCGCTCTTGTTAATGCATATACTATGTTTCATAACTAATCATGGACCTAGAGAAACGTCTTATTCTATTTCAAGTTGTTTCATTATACTTTAGGGAAATGTCTTATTCTATCTAGGATGCATTTGTCATTTATATCCTTAAAATACACAATATGGAAGTTATGTTATGGAAGGATTGATATTAAGTTTGTTTTACCCGTCAAATTTGAGGGACAAGCATAATACACACTTTCTAAATGTACTTATTCATCGGTTTGAAACCTATTATGTACTAGATTAAATATTATATCTTAATAAGATATTATTGTATCCAAAATATCTATATTATTATTTAAGATAAGTGACTTTATCAACCTTACAAGAGAAATATTAAATGTGTGTCGCTAGGATGCCTTTTCATTTTGGGCTTGTTACTTTCATAGCCCCATAGAGTATAGAGACTCACTTCCAGCACCATTGGGGATGATCTTAAAGTTTCCCGTTGTAGGAAAGATAACTTGCCCCAAAGATGCTTCCTGGGTTCTAAGGTCATCTCCAACCCAAATGAGGGTAAACTTAAATTCCACCCCCCGCCCTCCAAAATACAACTATGTGTATTGTCTGGACTCAAACAACTTTGAGTTTGCAGCTTTATTAAATTGTTTAAGAATAGTTGATCTCTATTTTTTTTTTGAGTGAATTTTGTCTATAACGTCATGATTTATTTTTCTAAATATCCTAAAAAAATTCAAATTTTGAAAACAAAATTTTAATTCATAAATGATGAAATGCAAACACACAAATTATAAACAAATAAGTGAATATTTATATACTTTAGGATGATTTTTTGGGTTTAGATTTATTAATATTAATATTTTGGCCGTTGGATTTCATTTTGGGTTGTTGAAATTTCTTTTTTAAAACGTTAGATGTAAAAAAAAGAGCCCTGTCTTCCCATATTTATTCACACAAGGGATCAAAAAATACATGGATTCCACTTTTAAAATCAGTAATCCAATACTTTTAAAACCAGGTATTGGATCAATTAGGGGGAAGAGTTGATTCAAGTAAGTAAAAATGTCTTCTTTTTTTTTTAAAATTAATTAATTAATTTTTTTATTCAATCAATAACAGCAAATGTCAGCTGGAAAAGAATTTTGGGCCAAAGGCTGCCCTAGCCCACAGTGAAATATCGACGAAGAAAAATAAGTTGAAAAAGCCCACAACGACTCGTAGCCAATCATTGCTGGCAAATTGTAATAATCGAACTGAGTTCCAGTCACGTGATCCTCACCTCTGGAATCAAAAACATTACTAGGGCTCGCTGATGACCATTTTACTCTTCACCCAACCCAAAGAAGAAGACGACGAGCTCGAGGAACACTGTCACTCTCTATCTCTCACTACTGTAAGTTCTCACTTTCTCTCACTACAATCTGCACTTATTAGCTGATAATGTGTTTGATTATGTTGATCCTGTGTTATCTGCATGTTGAAATGCGGCTTCAAATTTGTGGGTAGCGAAGAGGTTTTTGTTTGGAATTTTGAAATGTAGTTTCTGTGACTGAGAAATGTAGGGAAAATGAACTCAGCATGAAGATTGAAGCATAAGTTTTAAGTCACAGAAGTAATTTGCACACAAACACTGTTTTTGTATTCGTTATTTTTAAACACGCTGAAAGCATTTGATTGTATGTTCAATTTTGTTTTCTTCTCAATTATGTTTTTGATTTGTACCCTTTGGAGTGAAATCCATGCTGTAATTACCTTAAACTGTCTTGTTGCAAGTTTTCCGGTGTAGTGGGTTTAGTGATTTGTAATGCTTGTAGATAATCCAGATGGACTACAGCTCCGAAGAAGAGTCGGATATTAGTGAGTCTGAGATCAACGACTACAAAGATAAACCATATGAGCAGTTGAGGGAGGGAAAGTATAAAGTAAAGGGTCCTAACGGCACTCTTAGATGCCCCTTTTGTGCCGGGAAGAAGAAACAAGATTACAAGTTCAAGGACCTCTTCCAACATGCTTCTGGGGTGGGTAAAGGTTCTGCTAACAGAAGTGCCAAACAGAAGGCCAACCACCTTGCCTTGGCCATCTATTTGGAGAATGACCTAGCCAGTGAAGCAGACCAAATACAGCGCCCACTTTTACCCACACCTGTCGTTCCACAAGAGAAGCAAGAAGAAGATCTCTATGTGTGGCCTTGGACTGGCATCGTTGTGAACATTGTCAGTCAGCCAAAGGATGGAAAAGATTTGCTGGATTCTAGATACTGGTTGAGGAAGTTTTCTAAATATAAACCTTCAGAAGTTCATACCTTTTTGAATGAAGGAGAGCCAGCTGCATGCGCCGTGGTGTGCTTTAGTAAAGATTGGAGTGGTTTTGGGAATGCTACTGATTTTGAGAAAATGTTTGAAACTGACTGTCACGGCAAAAAGGATTGGAATGCACGAAAGCAACAACCTGGCTCAAGTATTTATGGGTGGTGTGCACGTGCTGATGATTATCATTCCCAAGGGCCGATGGGGACGTTCCTTCGCGAGGAAGGAAAGCTAAGAACAGTATCTGACATTGTCCAGGAAGCAGCTCAAAACAGAAATGATGTTGTGGCCAGCCTAGCCAGTAAAATTGACATGACAAATGAAAATCTGGATGAACTAAGGTACAAGTACAATGAGAACACAATGTCATTAAGTAGGATGCTTGAAGAGAAAGACAAGCTACACAACGACTTTGTTGAAGGTTTGTTTCTGTCCCTTTTTCTGTGCTTTGTTTTTGTTTATGGGCATGCGTAGTGGACATCCTCTTGTTTAAATGTGCCTATGCATTTGTTGTGAATTTATTATCTGCATTTGATGTTCTTATACGGTATATGGCACTGTTGGGTCCTGTTGAAAATTCTGTTATTGTTCCTTGACGAAACATTTTTGTGCTTATCAGAAACGAGGAAGATGCAGCGGACTGCACGAGACAATGTTCGAAGAATTTTAGACGAACAAGAGAAACTGAATTATGAGTTGGAGTCTAAGAAAAGGAAACTTGATTCCTGGAGCAAAGAATTAAACAAACGTGAAGCACTAACTGAGCGTGAGAGGCAAAAGCTTGACGAGGATAAGAAGAAGGTAATATATGTCATATTCTTGTACTATTCAATTTTGTGAATTTTAAGAATTTAACCATTCAATCTTCTTGTTTTCTAGCAGTCCACTTTTTGCAGTTTGTTAGCAATACTAGTATTAGGTCATTTAGCTACAAATATGATTGACATCAGTCTAGACAGAATTTAATTTCTAACTTAGTTGATTAGACTTGTAGATATTTCTAGAATTTGAGTTGATAATTTCTATAAGTCAGTGAATGCTTTATAATTACTCAATGATTTAAGTGTCTGAAGTATAACTTAATTAATGAAGTTGAAGTCCACTCAGTTTTCTACAAACATAGGAGTCTAGAAGAGTTCTAGACCTCTATGAAATGGGCTGATTGCATGCATTTTCAAACAAGTAGCAATAGAATCATTTCCTTTTTGTATATACAGTGTACGTCAGACTCAGTTTCCTATGTGATTATTGGGAGACTAAACAATGTGAGACCCCAATAAAAAGGGCTAGTTGTATGCATTGGGAGTCAAGTAGTAAAAGAGTCATTTATAGTCTATCAAAAGGATCCATTATTTCCATTTAACTGGGATGCATCAAAATATTTTCAGTTTGGTTCATTTTATCTTGTATCCTATGGGCTTGCCCAATCCAGTTTGTTTTTTAAACTGGTCAACAGTGCATCCTCATAGTCAATGTCATACAAGATATAATGTTTAAGTACACTTGCACTTCTTGTAAATGAAACACAGGCATGCACATAGCTTATTATCTTGTGTAAAAAAAAATGTTTGCATAGCAGTAAGTGAAGCTGTTGCCTGGTTTATGTGTGCTTGCTACTAATAAGGTTTTTTTCCCCACAGAATGATCAGAGAAACAATTCACTTCACTTGGCTTCCGTGGAGCAGAAAAAGGCGGATGAGAATGTCTTGAGACTGGTTGAAGAGCAAAAGGTATGTGAATTACTATTAACCTGACTAGAAAGTGTAAAACTTCCGTAATATATTATATTTTCCTTGGTTTTCCCTGATCACGACCCTTAACTTTTCAGAGGGAAAAAGAGGATGCCTTAAACAAAATACTTGAGTTAGAAAAGCAGTTGGATGCGAAACAGAAGTTGGAAATGGAGATTGAAGAGATAAAAGGGAAATTAGAGGTGATGAAGCATCTTGGGGACCAAGATGACGATGCAGTTCAAAAGAAGATAAAAGAAATGAATGATGAATTGGAGGAAAAAGTTGACGAGCTTGAGGATTTAGAATCTCTAAATCAAACTCTTATCACCAAAGAGCGCCAAAGCAATGATGAGTTACAGAAAGCTCGTAAAGAATTAATAGCAGTATGTGTTTCTTTTTCCTCTGTATTTGCGACTATACTGATTTGATAATTATCTCATAAATTTTTCCTCCTTTTATGCAAAGTAAGGACCAGATTGTTGGCCTAGATCCCACAATTGGTCCCATGATGAAAACCATCCATGTTAAGTACCCAATTAAGATCATCCAAGCAAATCAGCCAAATTGGAAATGGTTTAGCCCTTTGATTGTCATAACATCATTTCTATGTTTATTGAAAGCACTATGCTCATCTATTTCTTTCACGAAAATTAGATGGCCAAATTGTTTTAGATTTTCTTTATTATTATTTTTTTCCTATGACAGGGTTTATTTATTTTTGGTTACATAGTAAAGGATCAAACCCTTGACCTATTTTAATCCTATGTCATTTCTCCACCCGCCGTCATTTCTCTATATTGACACAATATTGACTATGGGTATATGATAAATTTTCTTGTAGCAATCATCTAACTTCACATGTTTTATGTTTGGCACAATCTTGTGTCTCAGACCAGAGTATGATATAGAGTCGGATATATGTAGCTAGTTATGAATCTTTTGTACATGTTTTCCACCATATTGGATTCTTGCTTATAAAAATGGAAATAAGTCCTTCTATCTTATCCTTTAAGGAAAAGAAGTATAAAAAAAACTGATTTTTAATTAGTATATGTTTCCTCTATAGTAAAGAGATAACAAAGTCATGAAAGCTTTTACTTTTTCTTTAGGGTTTGAGAGGTATGTTGGAAGTTCGATCTCTTATTCAGATAAAGAGAATGGGTGATCTTGATTACAAGCCCTTCTACAATGCATGCAAGGAACGATTTAGTGATGAGGAAGCACAGGTGCAGGCCTCCACTTTATGCTCCTTGTGGCAGGATAATCTAACAAAAACAGATTGGCATCCTTTTAAGATTATAACTGTTGATGGGAATACTCAGGTATATCTTTTCTATACTGTCAAATCTTTCGTTTCCAAAGTTATTCAATAACCAATAATGCAAGTTCAACTGTACACTGCAGCGTGCTACTATATATCATGTTAAAAAGCTTATCTAGCAACTCGTTATTTCAAGTACAAATGTGTAACTTTGTTTTGTTTCCAACTGTTTCTTGGTGCTTTAGTTATTTCGTGAGACCAATTCTGAAACACAAATTAATCTTTGGCATTCACTAGGCAACTTTGTTTTTCTTCATAGTCTTTCTGCTTTTGAGATTTCGGGAAGTTGCAAGAAACATGGTTTATGGAGATACAGATAGGTTAGGTTTATCGGATAAATTTTAAGGTATTTTCAATAGGATTGGAGTGCACTTTCAAAATAGTAAGGTTATACCTGTGGACTGAATGGAATTTCTTTCATGTCCCTCTATCTTCTTATATGTCTACAGGAGTTTCAAACAGGGAACATTTTGGGATTCTTCTGTTATAGATGAGCCGTGTTTGGCGCCCGACCATCTCAGTTTCTCCCATTTTACTATTGTATCGGAGAGTTTATGCTATTTGTGTGTGCTAATTTACCTTGCGATGCATTGATACGTATATCTTATACGTTTTGTCTTGAAAGATGTTGTAGAGCTCAACTCTTTTTCCAACTTTTATCTTACGTCATAGTATTGTGAGATCCACTCAATGTGAGAGAGTTTGGTAAAAGTTGAGTTGGATATCCTTTTCCTTGCTCTGGATGAACTGGAGAAGAATTTAAAAACTGAAGTTTTATGTGTATACATGTTGGTGGTTGCTGTCCTATTTCTTGAGAATGAAGACAAAAATAAGGGTAGCAATTGGGGTTCATGTGTCATGTTCGTGTAGGGTTGAGAGACACGGTATTACACTATTTGGGCAGACAAGAACATTCTCTGTTAATTAATCATGTCTAATTTTCTCAACACAAACACAAAACAATTATCACGTGTGTAGAGCAAGTTGACATGCATAATCGTTTAATTCATCAGATTGAATTGAATCATGTGGGTTGACACGACTAATCCTGTCAAATCACCCTTTCTTAAGGACAATTGGAAAGTGGTTCAAAAGATGATTAATTCGCTTCCATGCCGTGTGATGCAGGAAATAATTAATGAGGAAGATGAGAAGCTACGGAATCTGAAGGAGGAATGGGGCCATGAGATATATGAGTGTGTCGTTACAGCCTTAAAAGAACTTAATGAGTATAATCCAAGTGGGAGGTATGCTGTCTCTGAACTTTGGAACGTCAAAGAAGGAAGGAAAGCCACACTGAAGGAGGTTATCAGTTATATCTTAAGCAAAATAAAAACACTCAAGCGAAAGAGAACATGAGGCGAAGGTGAGCCTTCTTTATTATTTGGAAGTTACAGTTTCTCCAGATCTTCTATTTGTTTTGCTATAGTTTGGGCTGATTGTTAAACCCAACAATCTACATATTCATGATTGCCTGGCCACATTCACTTGGAAACAGGAAGGATTTGAAACATGATAAGCTTTCAGTTTTGTCTATTATAAAAGATTAGTAGAAAGACATGCATGTGTTTTGCTAGTAACAACAGGATTATTGGCAGTTTCATTACACAGTAATTTGATAAGTTATACAGTAATAGAGAGGTTGAAGAATGCTGAAATTATTTTTGTCAATGATAAAATATTCAGTGGAAAGGAATGGGTGTTTCTGAGGAAAGATGCATAGTAGCAGCCTGTAATTAGTTCCAAACAATATATATCACACCACTTTAGATATTGCCATTTGATTTTATTAATCCACTTCAGAGTCTGTATATAAAGGTCCTGTTTCGATTGTAGAAAATTATGAGGATCAAAATTGGAGACACTACAATTTCACTCATAGCTGTGGACAATATAGGTTGTGGTGAAGGATAATAGTTGACAGAAAAAGAACTTTTTCAATCTGTGTCTAGTAGAATTGAATAACAGCTGTCCTTTTGTGTAGGGCGGCTTCTGGTGTTCTTGCATTACAAAGTTTGTGGGGGAACTAATAAACTTCCTCAGGTTTTGGTTGTTTAGTTTGCCATGTTACAATTTACTTCAGTTCATTTTATCTCTATGCATCTTGCGCTGCTTCAGCATATTGTTGTTGCAAACACTCAATTGCATTTAGATGACCAAGACTAAGAATCTCGAGATTTGAGTAAAATATCTGCATATAGAATCAACTCTCGGACAAGCTAAATCAAAACCATTCCCTGAACCGTCATTTATGCAGACGAACATCTTGTTAAAGTTTTTCTTACTCTGATGTTTATTATGCCAGGCAATGGTAGCAAAAGTGGAAGACTAAATTTGGATCAACTGGTTGGATGGCAAGATCATGTTTTCATGGGGCTTCCTCATATGGATATCTGCTTATGACAAGAACCTGCTTTAGTTGGATTAATTGTACCTTGAATACTTATGAACCTAAATTTTTATGTGGGAAACTTTGTGACTGCTATTTTAGCACTCGCTTTTGCTATCGGTTTCATCAGCTTGTGTATCTGTAGTTTGCATTATTGAATCCAGTTCGGTGATTGGCCGTGCCCTTCCCAACCTAATGTATTTGTGCTAACATTGTAAAATTGGCTCGGCCCAAGCTTGGTATGATGTTTCGAGCCACGGGTTAGCCCGATTATATGGAGAGGCTTGGACTTGGCCATTTTTTGTAAATGGTAGGCCCTAAGCCATGCTTTTCTTAGCCTTGGCCCAACCCTAAATTACAATATTTTGGGTTATGCTTTGTGTTTTCAATTTTTCGTAATTTAGTTAAATCTTTCATGCAAAAATGCATACGGTTCAAGTGGCATTTAGATAGTGTGAGGGTGCCAACGGTTTAATTTAGCGGAAAATGATATTGACTTACAAACTATACCAATAGTTTCAGATTCGAATTCATGTAGCACCTAACTTGTTAGTGTGTAAGAAACCTCTCTCATTCTTGTAGTCTAGATCATCTGTGGTCATAATTAATCCTAATTTATGTCCAAACATACTCTCCTCCTCTCTCCTCTCAGCTGCCACCGCTATCTGTACACAAAACTTATGTAAACAAAATTTTTATAGAATTATTTTGCGAACCAAACGGGTCAAAACAGTATAGACTACTAGTCGGGCTCTTTATATCTGGCGATTGGACGGCCTAGATAAAGGTTTCGTTTTTATTTTCTTGCCATCTGCTTCCACCTGTCCACAGCTCACCAATGATCAATTGCATACCGACCTAGTATCGCTTTGGTTTTCGTACTCTCTGTTTGTTCTTCTTTTTCTGCCTCTCGTTCATTGCAGAAAGAACAAACCAAAAAAAAAAAAAACATAAAAACCAGTTAATAAAAAGGAATTCAGATTATTGCCATTTTGTAGACCCCATAAAATTTATCTCATTCCTCGTTCACCGACTTTACGACTCATATTTTGAAGCAAATCTTGCCGACGTATTTACGCATCCCTCTGTTTTTCTCTTTACGAGAAACCTTACCTTTTACTTCGTTCTCTGTTGAATCTGCGAGTCCTCTTCGTCGTAGGATTTGTGATTCGAATGTTCCCCTGATTTGAGGTTGGTCTCAATTCCTTCACTTTTCTCTATTGATTTGATATTTGATGTTCTTCCTCTAATTTATTTATTTATTTGCTTTTTTGTTTCTTATTTTGTGGGTTTTGCATACAATTTAATGCATTTTTTATTATCAATTAATCAAAAGCTTGGATCTTTGTTGAATGAATTTTGATGGGTTTGTATCATTTCCAATTCTTCTTTAGCAGAACTGATAGGGGTTTATAGATCCCGCGGATTCAATTGGGTCCGCTATATGCGTATTTGGTTGAATTGGTGACTTGGGTCTTCAAACCCTGCGGTTTTTATCGAAATTTGTTTGTGGGTTTTCACTGAGGAATGCCGCTCTTACCGAAGCCCGATTCGATTCAAATTCGTGAGGTGTGGAACGATAATTTTGAGGAGGAATTTGCTTTGATACGAAAAATTGTCGATGACTATCCGTATGTTGCTATGGACACCGAGTTTCCTGGCACTGTTCTTCGTCCGGTGGGCAATTTCAAGAACAGCTATGACTACCATTACCAAACCTTGAAGGATAATGTAGATATGCTCAAGCTGATTCAACTGGGTCTCACATTTTCTGATGAGCAAGGGAATTTACCCACTTGTGGAACTGATAAACATTGCATTTGGCAGTTTAATTTCCGGGAATTCAATCTCAATGAGGATGTTTTTGCCAATGATTCTATTGAGCTTTTGCGCCAAAGTGGCATTGATTTTAAGAAAAACAATGAAAAGGGTATTGATGCAAAGCTGTTCGGCGAGCTATTAATGTCGTCTGGGATTGTGTTGAATGATAGTGTGCATTGGGTCACTTTCCATAGTGGGTATGATTTTGGATACTTGCTTAAGCTTTTGACTTGCCAGAACTTGCCCGAGACGCAAGCAGAGTTCTTTAATTTGATCAATATTTACTTTCCGACAATATACGATATCAAGCATCTGATGAAGTTTTGCAATAGCCTTCATGGTGGATTGAACAAGCTCGCAGAATTGTTGGAAGTGGAGAGAGTTGGTATTTGTCATCAGGCAGGTTCTGATAGTTTGCTTACATCTTGTACATTCAGAAAATTGAAAGAGAGTTTCTTTAGTGGTTCTTTGGAGAAGTATGCTGGTGTCTTGTATGGTTTAGGTGTTGAGAATGGACTAAATTCTCTTTAACGTTGTCTGTGCCTGGTACTCGCATCTTCATGTACACTTTTGCAACAAGTTAATTTATGAATATATAACATATTTTTAATGATAATCCTCTTTTGCACAACTTTGGAACTTCTCATTGCTTGTACTTTTTGTCAATATAACTGGATTGGATTGGGTTACATTCACGTATAACACTGGTCATGGGAACATATGTTTCCCTTTTACACATAGACGCATCCATTCAAGATAAACAACTAAAATCTTGACATGTTAGACAACTGCTTTTGGTGGACGTATATGTGAAGGTATTTGATGTTTTAGTTTTCTTCAATTTTCCAATATTTTATGGCTATCTCTTTCGCTTGAGTAATCCTGAACCATTTTCAAGCTAGTGGTTGTTCGGGAAAACTTTCATGGTGAGGTCAGTCCTTTCTAACACAGTTATGGTCTCAATGGTTCATGCATTTTGGAATGGTTAGGCTGTTTTCTTTTGTTCTTTTTGGTTAATTTATGTTCCTCATTTTGCATGAAATCTCAATGGAAGTGTCATTTCGTGGATTATAGTGGTCCACTTTATGTTTATAAGTAAGTCTTCCTGATAAACTTCCCATTCCTCTACAGTTTGGTCCACTGAAAAGAGGTTGTCTTGCTTAAGGGAATTGATAGGCCTTTTAATTGCTGCTCTTCTATGATTTGAGTGTTGTGGTAGTTCAGTTCATGCTTCCACATTTTTGAAATATGATATTGATTTTTGTTTTGTTTTTAATTTTAATGATATGAGGTGGTTGTGCAATTAAGGGATAAGAAAAGCTGAGGTTTCCCTACCAAATATTTTTTTTTGCAATGTAGCGGAGACTGAATAAAAAGAACCACTTTACTATCCCAAAATATGTAAGTTTGTGCTTATGTGGTATAGAAGCAGATACAGGTGCATACTTTGTTATAATTTAGGTCATGTTTAATGTTGTTTTATTGAACTTGTTACTTGTTGCCATTATCCTTCATGTCACTTGATTATGGGTTGCTTCTTGCACAGTTGTCCCGCTATTGTAGAAACTTTGATATTCCTGTACGTGTGCTTTGTCTCCTTAGATTAATTATCTAGTCCCCAGTGCAAATCAACAGTTAGGTATACTTTCCCAAGGCATTACCTTGCATATATTATAGACTATAATTCCAAGATCTTTGGACACAATTGTGCTTTCATTGCCACAAAATGGTGTTGCCTTTTGTATTGCACTTATTTTCAATTTTAATGTCAGGGACATTTTTCTACTTTCTATGATAGTGCGCCACTTTCTATGTTCAGTATGATTCCGGGTACATGCTAGTTGTTGGCATGCCATAATTTGCTAGTTTGGAATCCAAATTCATGTATGCTCTTCTGCTGTTTTTCCGGGTTGAGCATGACGCCTCTGATCCCCTTCTACAACAACCCTTGTGGTTAATGTTGTCATGTCATTCTTTTCCCCTTTTCTGTCTTGGTTTTTTTTTCTCAGTTCTTATCTGTTAGACATATGATCTCAATCTCTCTCTGTCACATAAGCGAAGATTGTATGGCTTTATTCGTATAACCACATTACCTTGTTGACAGGCAAAAGATATTCCAAGTTTGTTTATGTTTCCACTACTACTGCTGTGGTTCTAGTGGTGGATACTTGGTTAGTGAAATACAAACAAAATATGTCCTTTCGTTTGTTTTTGCCTCATGCAATCCTGTTCATTGCTTTACTTTCTTTTGGTGGTCTGATCTCATACTTCCTTAGCTTCATGGACTATTTCACAGCAGAAGCAAAATTAAGTTTTATATCGGAAAGCTTGGCTTTCAATGTCTTTATGGCATGAAGTAGCTCTTGGAATCCTGTGATGCTTTTACCTTGGGTTGAACAACTTGTAGAGCTATTAGAACTGCAGGGAGAAGGTATGCATCATTTTCATATCTTATACATGTGCAAGGGAAGAGTGCTTCCTCTAGAATGATCAGCAAGCGGCTCATCGTCTTTTTTCTTTCCAGGGAAGTAATCAGCTGTATCAGAAGTCTGTTAAGGATGTAATGGATTCTTTTTCTTCTTTTAGCAAAGGGGGAAAGAATAAATCAGGTGGCTTGCCCCTGAATTGGAGGCAACCAAACCAGGCATGGTCATATGAAGTGGTGTGATGGCGTGAAAAATATGGATTGGTAAAGTGAGACAGTCGAAAACAGGTTGAGCGAATGAACGCAAAGGACTTGATGATAAGTAAGGCTTCCACATCTCCATTTTCAGCGGCTGGAGCCAGCAATTGCTTTTGTTTTTTAGCAGTTATGTTTTGTTTTTACAATTTTTCGTAGATTTGCATTACCAGTGTCTAGTTTTGCCAGGGAAGCATGGTTCTGAGAGACTCAAGCTACTTGAAACTTGTGTTAAACAGATTTGGTAAATGTATTCAATGTTATCAATCAATATGTTAAAAAGTTTGCACTTATTAGTTGGATTTGTTTAGTGTTATCAGTTAATTGTCCCAATGAAAGCCAAATTCTGGATCTGCTTTGTCATTTTATTTCTGCCTGGGTTGCCCTTTTTGTGATAATAAGAGAAGCCGTTATGTGATTATTTTTCTTTTTTGTTTTTGTTTGTTTGTTTTTCTTTAAAAAATAAATAAAATGGGATGGAACCCAACAAAAGATTAAAACTAGCCATTAATACACAAACCGAGGCCAGCAATATCGTCTAAAACAGAAGAACCAATGGGGGGGAGGTCCAATTTTCTTAACAAAGATCTTTAGGGGTAAATTTTTGAACACAAAAGAAACAAATGCCTTAACTAACTAAAATGTTAAGAGAAAAAAAAAACAATAAATAAAGATAAAAGGGTAAACTAACTGGTTAAATTAAGAGTCTATTTTTATCCCCACTTCTCGAATCCTAATCAATAGTTCGTTTTAGCCATAAAAAAAAAAAAAGTGGTCAAGAGGCTAGTTAGTATAAAAATGAAACAACAAATAAAAAGCAGATATGCACTTAGCCAAGTTGTCTTCTCTCTCCATCCTCTCCTCTCATCCTTACTCCCATTCTCACTCTCATTTTGCTCCGTTTGGATGAAGGAATTGCCAATTACATAGAATTCTAAAATGACGGAATTTAGATTTCCGTCATTTCAATTTCTGGCAATCGAAGATTTCAGTGTTTGGATTTATGTATGTCGGATTTTGTAAATGACAGAAATTGAAAATTTCAATGTTTGGATATCTCATGGAAATTATAAATGACAGAAACTAAATATTTTGAAAGAAAAAAAAACTGATAACCGACATAAAAGGTATTCCTCGAAGTATAAAATAACATATTGTTTGATGAACTAAATAACTCAACTTAAACAAACAGAGTATATTAGCAAACCAAATCACTCCCCACGTGCAATAAACATCAGCAACATACTTTTTTTTTTTCTCAATTGGGAGTGCCTTCAGCATCTAAAATTGTTTGTCATTTTCTATCAGCCAAGCACATGCTTTGAGTTGTTCATTTTCACTAAGACCTGGTACTGCTTGTACTTCAGCATATAACTCTGCTGGATCAAGGTTCTTAGTATCAGCACGGATAAACTCTTCAAATGATAAAGTCATTCTAGCAATCGAATCAGCAATAACATCTTTGATAGCAACTCTTTTCTTTGTAGGAAGAATATCATAAGAATTTGATGCACGATTTCTTCTCTTTTGACCATTTGTTGATGTTGGTGAACTATCATCAATAACATGAATATCTTCTAAATCTTGTGTATCACCATCCAAATCAACATAATCAAGTTCATCAGTAGGAGTCATAACTTCATCAGTAGAATTTGATACACAAGGTATTGCTGAATTAATATCATCAATCAACTTTTAATTCAATATTTTCATGTGCAGACACTTCTCTGGTACCTATGGAATTAGAACTAGAAGCAATCAAGACCCTGATACTTCTTTTTCACTTGCCAAAAGACCAATGACCAGAAAAATTAAAAGGGCTTTGATTAAAAAGTTGCAGACAAAAGTACAGGAATAAACGATTAAGATTATGAGGGTATTAATGACTTGTTTTAGATGAAGCTAACAACTACATAGCAAGGCGATAACACAAAGTGATAAAGCTAGCAAACAACTATAGAGTGATTAATGACTTTTTTTTTTAATGAAAAGTATGGCCTTTTTTATTTATTTATTTAAGTTTTGGCTCCATGGAAAATATGAATTCCCGCACTATGGAAATTGTGAAATGACGTCTATTTTGGTGGAAATTAAACTCGGGAATTTGATGCCTCAATTTCCATGATTTTTTCCACGCTTCATTTAATAAATTCCACGCTTAAGTTGCCAAACAAGGGAATTGTCAATTTCTTCTCTTAAATTCCCGACTTTTAGTTAAATTCCGAGTTATTTTCCCGCATCCAAACGGAGGGTAAGGATTTGAACTATGTTAATAATACAGTTGAATCCCTCAGAAAAATAAAAAATAAAAAATTCGAGGGTAATTATGGATTTGGGCCCAATTTCATGTGGCCGGGAACTGGATTGGCCCAAGAAGGGGTTAACAGATTTAGGGTTTGCCCTAATAAATTCCACACTTTGCTCTGACTGCTCATTTTGCTTCGCTTACGCAGACCTCTCGGTGCATCGGCTACCTCATCTCACGATTCTTCAAGGTCTCCCTCTCTTCCTCTTTCTATGTATATGTGTCTTGAGATTAAAGATATCTGGAATCTGATTTTTGATATATGTTGTTCGTTTTTCGATTTTTCATGAAAGATATCTGGAATCTGATTTTTGATATATGTTGTTCGTTTTTCGATTTTTCAGCTTGAACGTCAAGAGGAAAAATGGCAAGGTAAGTAAACTCATGTTCTACAAGAGTAATGACCCTGATATTAGTTTCTTGAACATCTCCTTTTGGACCTTTCATGAGCATTGGGTTGCTTCTTGAAGTTGGTGAAGTTGTAGTTTTTGTTCTAATTTTGTATTGTTTAAAAACTGGTTTCTTACTTAAGTAAATGTCAAAGTTGAATTTATTTTCTTGTTACATGGCATATTTATAAATGGGTTATCTGGTATGGACTATCTGTTGTTGATCTAGTTGGGTAGTTGGGGTTGAGTGATAAAAGCCAGAATATTAGTTGAATTGATAAAATATGTTTCGGCTTTGGCTGCAAAGACTTTTAGGTTAGATTTCTATGAGGAGATTATGAACTGTGTAAGTATCTGAATTTAGTGAAGAAATTTCAGGATTTTGTTATTTTTCTGAGTTCTGAGGTACCCGGTTGGGAGGGGAATGCTTTTTGTGATTGAATTTTGTTTGACATGAATATTGTTTATTTGTTTGATCATATTGTTATTTTTCAGAGCTAGTTTGTTTTATGTGAGAGGAACAGATCTCTGTTCACAATGAGTTTTCAGATATTTAAAATCATTCTGGAAAATTGTTGTTTGATAATAAATGGAGAGACGGTGTTGATGTGTTATATTTATCTGTGCTGGTATCATGGTCCTTCGTTTCTATGGAATGTAGTCTCATGCTACCAAAAATGGTCCTACCATTTCTGATTCATGGGTTTCAATGTGTCATTTGCAGTGAAGAAGCTGCAGTTTCAACTGAGGCAGCGCCAGCAGCAGCGCCTGCTCCAGCTCCAGCTCCAGCTCTTGGTGAGCCTATGGATGTTACAACTGCTCTGCAGCTTGTGCTGAGAAAATCACTGGCTCATGGCGGGCTTGTCCGAGGTCTTCACGAAGCTGCAAAAGTGATTGAGAAGCATGCTGCCCAGCTGTGTGTGCTGGCAGAGGACTGTGATCAGCAAGACTATGTTAAACTGGTGAAAGCTCTTTGTGCTGACCACAATGTAAACATGCTGACCGTTCCCAGTGCCAAGACCCTAGGAGAGTGGGCTGGTGTAAGTGGTGTTTACTTTTAAACTATTTTTGGCATTTAATTATTTTCTTGGATGAATTTCTCGCTTTACTGTGTTTTGGTTGCCTAGTGATTGTCTGTTTTGTGCATTGATTATTTACTTTACTCATACAGCTGTGCAAGATTGATTCCGAGGGAAAGGCTAGGAAGGTCGTTGGTTGTTCTTGTGTGGTTGTGAAGGTACGACTCTTTACCCAATAGAGAAGGAAGTTAAATTTAAAGTAACACGCGTTATTTTACTCTGCAACATTCGATGATCTAAATGAGACCTTGGTTTTTTCTGGTTGTTGTGCAGGATTTTGGTGAGGATCACGAAGGTCTTCATGTTGTTCAGCAGCATGTGAAGGCCCAATAAGTTGACTGGGTCTGAATTTTGTGAGAAATGTTGAAACATCTTTAGGGAGCTTTGTTTGTCTCATGAATTGTTACTTTATTTGACTGTTTACTAGTTACTGTTTACCATGGTTTTCAATTTTGTTTCAAATTGTTGTTTCTAGTATATGTTACATTTTGATATTTTCTATGAAAAAAGTTTCATCCAATATAACCCAGGTTCATAAATTATTTTAGATTACGCCCGAGAAACGGGAAGCATGGCCATTTATGCATCTTCTGCAAATTATTTATCCCTCTGATTTCATGTTTGCTCTTTTTCTTTCTTTATCCCTCTTTTTCTGTTTGGGTTGATTACACAAACACCGCAAACTATAGGGTACGTTTCAAGATAATACATCATCTTTTATTGGTCTTACAAACTATTAAACAAAATTCATATTGCCTCTTCGTGAACAAGTCTATTACGGCCATTCGAAAGGAGTGATTCCAAGTCTATTACGTGACATTGTAAGGTTATATGCATGCCAAGATTCAATTACGAAATAAATGAAAAAAACAAATGAATTTTCAAATGATCTTGTATGTAGTAATTTTGAATCCATTTCAATTGTATTACATTTAGGTATTTTAAATACATTCAATTTAATTCTTTTTTTATTATCGTCTTTCTCTCATAAAAAATTATGTATCTTTTGTGTTTTGGCTTATTTTAAATACATTTAATCTAATTGCTTTTTTAATAACAAATTTAGTTTTGTTGTGAATCCAAATAATTTCTTTCAAGTACATCCAAATGGTAATATAGTTTTGCCCCCACGTAGTTTTAGAGAAATACTCGTGTGGAATGAGAATAACATTATTTTTCTATCTCCAACAATCACGGCATACAATGCATGATAACTTTTCCACTTAACATATATTGATTGGCCGTGGATAACAAAACAATATTATCCCCATTTCAAACATGCTCCAAAAGTGGAGGCTCCTCTTATAATGGCCCTCACCCTTTCGTTGTAAACTCTCTCAAATGACCAAACCTCTCTATGTAAAACGTAATCGGCATTAAGGAGAAATACAAACAAAACCGTGGACGAAGTAGAAATACTCGTGTGGAATGGGAATAACATTATTTTTCTATCTCCAACAATCACGGCATACAATGCATGATAACTTTTTCACTTAACATATATTGATTGGCCGTGGATAACAAAACAATATTATCCCAATTTCACGCATGTTTTTCTGCTCCAAAAGTGGAGGCTCCTCTTATAATGGCCCTCACCCTTTCGTTGTAAACTCTCTCAAATGACCAAACCTCTCTATGTAAAACGTAATCGGCATTAAGGAGAAATACAAACAAAACCGTGGACGAAGTTTGACACTTCTTTCAATGGAGTTGGGTGACACTTCTTCCAATCCATAAGTTTGTTGTTGATCAATTTTTAAATCAATAATAGTAACTCAGAATATTCTCTTGCCCCCTTTTTAGTAATTTCGTTTCATACCTTTTGTTTTTCTACCAACCTTCATAGACTTCAGAACCCAAAAAAAAAAACAAAAAAAAACAAAAAAAAACAAAAAAAAACAAAAATCATCATCATCATCTTCATCATCTTCTTCATCTTCTTCATCTCCATCATCATCATGGCTTGCCTCTATTTTCTCGCACTTGTAGAATCTAATCCCCATTAAATTTAAAAATTTCTCCTAGTATTTTTCTAGGATTTTCCACTAAGTTAAGTGCATCTATGCTTTCTCTTTCTCTACCTTGTGTTTCTCTCTCCACTTCATTTCCTTTCTTTCACTTAAATTGGAACTTTTTATATGTTATTAAAAATGTCATATTGAAAACAAAAGAAAAACACCTTTTCTCATTTATCTTTTTTTTTTAATCTTTAAATCTAAGATTAATTTCTAACTTAACTTGAAAATTATTTATTTTTTCTTAGTAGTCATTAATTTCTCTTTCCCTATCCTACCATTTTTTTTTGCTTATACCAAACAATAAACACCTACTTTCCATTTTTAAAATTCTTCATATATTTGCCTTTTTCTTCCTTACAAACCGAAAATACATATTCAAAACTAAATATTATACTTTAATTAATAAAAATAACTCAAAAAAATATACTTCTTTCTCACTTTTTCTAGAATTTTCTTTTGTACAATTTTTTCCTTACTTTTTAGACCCTCACCAACTCCGATGCTTGAAACCCTATTAGATCTCATATTTTCTTATATAAATATTTTTTTTCGTCGAATTTCTTATATAAATATAATATGTTTTCATTCATACTTCTTTATTTTTTACTTTTGCTCGAGTCGCCGAAACCTACCTAATCTACATAAAATCACTATTAGATCTCAAATTTTCTTATGGAAATTGATTTTCGTAGTTTCACCTCTGAAATCACCCACCATTAAAAAAAATTGTGAACTACTCTAATAGATTTTTCGTATCTAGGATTTTCCACTAGAAACAATTACGGCAAAAAAAGTATCCGGCGAAGGTTTTTTTCTTGCAATGATGACTATAAGGTAATTATTTATCCATTTACACTTCAAGTAATAAAGATAACATAGAAATATTTCGCTCTCTTTTTTTTTTTCCTAGAATTTTCTTTCGTATATTTTTTCCTAATTTTTTTTTATAAATACCACGAGGTGTCCCCACACCCGAAGGGTGGGATTAATGCCCACCAACTCCGATACTCAAAACCCCTATTAAATGTCAAATTTACATATATAAATATAATATGTTTTCATTCATACTTCTTTATCCTTTTACTTTCCCATCCCTTACTAGCGCCACGGTGCCCTAAACCCTAATGGCCTAATCTACATAGTTACACCATTAGATCTCAAATTTCTTATGAAAATCAAATAGATTCTTGTAGTTTGCCTCTGATATCACCCTCCATAAAAAAAATGCAAACTACCTGAATATATTTTTCCGTATCTAGGACTTTTCACTAAAAAAAACATTTACGGCCAAAAAAGTATCCGGTGAGGGTTTTTTCTTGCAACGATGACTATAAGGTAAATACTTATCCATTTAATTTATTTATGTAAAATGCTTATGATTAGTATGGTTCATGACCATTTTGATTTCATGTATATTTTTCTCACTCTCCCTTCCGCCCTTCTCTCCTCCCTTCTTTTTCTTTCTTTTGACTCTCATTATATGTAATAGTTGAAAACTTTGAAAAGTGGTGGGAAAAAAACGATTTTGAAAAACTTGCAAAATATATTATTTTGTGAAATCAATTTTTCAAAATTGAAATGATTAGAAATGTTTTTGTTATATTGAAAACTAAATTAGAAAAAGTAATTTTTTGTTTTTTAAAAAATAATTATATTACCTACAAAAGGTTATGACCTCTCATATCTTAAATATTAGCACTTTTGGCATACTAGCTAAATTTGTAAATTAATTTTGAGCAATGTGTATGATTAGATCCTTCAAGAGGGTTTCGGTAAGCATCGGTCCATTACATTTTCAGTCACTTAATGACTTATGCTTGGTCTCAATCACAAGCATATTTCACTACGAGAGGGGCAATAATATACTAAATTCACACACACTACATGGATACTAGGATTCGAACCCAGGACCTTTTCTAGAGGAGCAATTGTTCCAAATCACTACAATAGTGAGTGACATCTCAAAGAGAGAGGAATTGAATTTAGAACACTTCTTTCTTCTTCTTCTTTTTGGTATTTTGATTCCAAAAAAAAAAAAAAAAAATTGTATTAAAAAATTTTGATGTAAAACTTTTGTTTGGGATTGTTACATGTGCCAAAATTAACTTTCCTATTCTTAACTAGTCTAGGGATTATGATCGTTTCTTTATAATTTATAATTCCAATTATCCACTTATTTGTTAATTTGCAAGGTGCAAGGTGCAAGGTGATGCATGACCTATATATTTAAATTTCCCCATGCATGCAATTCTTTTCTTTCAAATGCAGGGTGGAGCTATATGTGAGCAAGAATGTTGGCTTGATCCACATATTGTTGGGTCGTAACTTAAGATATTGAAATAAAAGGATTGTCTCAATAAAGATATATTTTTTCGTTTGGTGATGTGATTGGTTTAACGTTTGAAGAAAATAGTACTAATAATTTCGGCTTGTGACAGTGCGGTGTTTAGTTATGAATTGTTTTGCAAAGGATTAATCATCAAGCTTGAGGGCTGCGTTTGGTTCATGGGAAAGGAATCGTGGGGGTGGGAAACTAATTCCTTTCCCATGTTTGGTAAGTCAGGCATGGGAAAGCGTTGCCTAACACATGGGAAAGTAGGAGGGAAAGTGAATCCTTCCTTTCTACTTGGGTTTCACTTTCCCTTCCCATGGGAAAGTAAGACTAACTTTTTTTCTGACTAATATGACTAATTTGTCCTTACTAACAATTCATAATTACAGTTTTTATCCAACAATTATTGGTATTTTTTTATTATTTTAATAGGGGTACAATTGGGAAACTAAACAAAATTTGATTTCCATTCATACTCAAAACAAACATGGGAAAGGAAAAAAAGTGATATTTCCGGGTCACTTTCCCGGCATTACCAAACATGGGAAAGGAATCACCATTTCCCATCCCTTGGGAAATGACATGGGAAATGATTTCCCATCAAATTCATTCCGTGAACCAAACGGGGTTTAGTTATGAATTGTTTTGCAAAGGATTAATCATCAAGCTTGAGGCACTACGAGGTTGTATCTTCAAAGCTGATCATTGGATCTCCCAGATTCTGCATCCAAAGCTGTATTGTTGTGGGTTTTCCTCAGGATCACAAGGAACTGCAGATTCCTTATCTATGACCAAATGTGCAGAAGCAAGCAAGCATGCACCCCTCGTTTGTCGTCTCAGCAAGTTCTATAGCTCTAAGATGCTCTTCTGCTTTTGCCTTCCAAGATACTTGTCTCCTTAAATCCTTTTCTCAAATGGCTATCTTTTTATTGTGGAGTTCTCTCCTCAACATGAGCACTCGAGAAATCTCTCCTCAGAGCTGAAAGGGAACTAGGGTTAGCTGCATGATCGGCTACAACTTGCTTCGGCGTTGGGTTCTGCCATTAGGGTTACTTTGAAGAAATGGAGAAGAAGCTCCTATGTCTACAAATCATGATGAAGGAGGTTCTTAATGATAAGGTATGTGGATTTTACACATGTTATGTTGTGTTAGTGATTTATTTAATTAATAC